AAAAAGTGGACTGTATAACATTAATTGATCTCTTGATATTAGATCATATAAATACTGTAACGGAGATGAACATTCGCTGCTATCTAATGTTATCAATCTCTCTCTAGAATTGCTATATGAGTGGAATAGACATTTTGTGATACTTGTGCATTCATTGTGGTGTGCTTATTTACTAAGTAAAGCAAACAGCAGTGACCTGTATAAATTGACGCACTGTAGTGAAGTATACTTCACCTTGTCGTGTGAAATTGAAATGTCACAATATGAATGCAGGAGACGTCTTCAAGAGCTGCTAGAAATAGCTCGTCTGTTTAGATATTTGTTGCATCCTGTCTCACGGAGCACAGCATATTTATCAATAGAGAGCGGTACATCTTAACAGATAATTATTCTTTCAGATGGCTCATTCTCCTGCATTTTAAAGCAGCTGTCCATTTCTTTGCTTAATTTTCCCCATAAATGCTAATGATGTATATAGTTTTGTAAAATAACAAAAGAAGTTTAGATAAAATCAACTTACCACTGCTGACGTAACCAGATAATGTACACTGTAATGTTGAATAACTATGTTAAAATTTCTTCCCAAACAGCTGGTGATCTCCCTGAAATCAGACGATATAATGCAAGGATAGGCAACCTTTGGCACTCCAGATGTTGTGGACTACATCCACCATAATGCTCTCACACCCATAATGCTGGCAAAGCATCATGGGAGGTGTAGTCCAAAACATCTGGAGTGCCGAAGGTTGCCAATGCCTGATATAATAGAAACTTTGGTTGTCACATCAGTGGTCGAATACGTGCCACCGGTGCTTTTAGGCAATTTCAAGATTACCACAGCACCCTTCATGCACATGACACATCTGGAAACTTTTTTCACCCAACTTAAAGAACCCCTAAAGTCCCCAAGGCCATTTCATCTCTATGAAGTGGCCTTGGTGTGATTGTCCTGTCAGTTTAACCATTCAATGTTTACCTTGACGTGTTAAACACCTGGCTGTTAGTGAAAAAGCCACCAGAGGGGCTTCCACTGCACTGACCATGTAAAATTGAAAAGCTTTGATTCAACAATATCCTATAGGGTACTTTGAATGTGTGTGGCTCTTGCTGGGTATGTGCATCAAGTCCCTAATGAACCTCTATGAGGATACTTGGATTGGACAACCCTGGAGGAGACCATGTCTCCTCCATGGTGTACTGTGAGTAGGATAGGTAAGCAGATAAGTATTATTATTATTGCCATTTATATAGCGCCAACAGATTCTGTAGTGCTTTACAATATTATGAGAGGGGGGATGTAACTATAAATAGGACAATTACAAGAAAACTTACAGGAACAATAGGTTGAAGAGGACCCTGCTCAAACGAGCTTACAGTATAATCTTAATTTTATTATTCTTATGGGACACACAAGGTTTAGCTGGACTTGTAATACTAGGGACAGAAACAGTAAAGTCCAAACTTGCCTTGGTTAAAGGAACACTATAGTGTCAAGGCAAAACTCAGCGCTGCGCCTCTTAGCATCTCCTCATAAAGATGCATTGAAGCAATGCATCTCAATGGGGAACATTCAACACTTCCACGCAGGGTGTGGAGACGTTGAATGCAAGTGCTGTACACTGTGCCAAGCTGACACCGGAAGCACCTCTATTAGTCATCTGAGTCACTGCCACTAAAGGTGTGAATAGGCACCAATGGTCCTGGTGACTATAATGTCTCCTTAAAATATGTGTTTATACCTGGCTATTGTAATACTCTTACAGGACGTTCTTCAGTTGGAAGAAAGGGACTTATTTGCTGTGAAACACAGAAGCAGGAATATCCCACACGGCAGCATTTAAACACTCACTTAACTCTCACATCCTGAGAATATGTAGTCTGCATTCATGACAGGGAATCGCATTGCACTGAGAGATAAGGAACCAGAATTTGTTTTTCTAGCTCTCCTGACAACCCAACTAAATTACCAGGCAGTCATTTAGGAGATAAAGGGAAAAGAACAGGAGCAGTCACTGGTCAGAAAGGCTGCACCACAAGGATGTGTGAAGATGGATTTTGATAGCAGGGGGAAAGAAGGACACCTTTGGGGATGGAGTCTTAAGCAAGAGTCGGTACTTAAAAGTCCAATTAGTTTAATATGTCTGAGCCCAAACAGGCTGATACTAGCTGACATTCAGAAGGACCCATTACCTGCCAATGGTTTGGTTCTCCCAGAATTAAAGCGATCCTATAGTGCCAGGAAAACAAACTAGTTTTCCTGGCACTATAGGCTCCTGTAGTGCCCCCCTGCCCCCCCTCCCGCTGTGCTGAAGGGGTTAAAGCCCTAACCTGACTCCAGCGCCGATGTCCCGCGGCGCTGGATCAGGCTCCTCCAATGGCGACGTCAGCTGGCAGAGGAGACCTAATGTGCATGCGCGACAATGGCCGCACATTCATTAGTCCTCCCCATAGGAAAGCATTATTCAATACTTTCCTATGGGAAAATCTGACGCTGGAGGTCCGTAAGGATGTCCAGCATCAGATAACGGACCAAAAGACCGTTTGGATTCCGGAAGCCCTCTAGTGGCTGTCTGTTAGACAGCCACAGAGCGCAGTTTTAGAGCTGCAATGTAAACATTGCAGTTCTTTGGAACTGCAATGTTTAACATTGCAACACTAAGTGCAAAAGGGTCACAGCACCCAGACTACTTCAATTAGCTGAAGTGGTCTGGGTGCCTACAGTGTCCCTTTAAGTGCAGCAGTAATAATGTGTGTGGCTTTATATAACAAAACAGGCAGGTTATCAGTTTTTAACACAGCTGGTCTTGGTGAGAATCTGGAACAAAAAGTTCACTGTCGTCTGCTTATACAAGCTCATTCTTGACTTTTTATTTTTATTAAACAATTTCTCTGCATAAACACATTTCTCTGCTTTTTAAAGCTTTTATTCTTTCCTGTATTGATTACTGCAATATTTGCCTTAGAAAGAGACAAAAGCAATATGTTCCTACAGCATGATACATCTACAATTATTCTCAATCTTAATATACAATCATGGTTTACAAACTCGTAATACTTTTCTCTACTACCTCTATAGACTTTGCTAGATATTGCATGACTCTGCATGTTACATATGTTAATGTCCTTTATTAGCTAAACAAATTTTGCTGCACATTCTGTCTATGTAAAACACAATCGCAACCCCTCTGCCTCTATCCCTCACCCTATAGACCCCCATACACCCACTATAGCCAATACCCACCATTACAGCTCATGTCCTCTCCCTTCAGCCTCTGTTCTCTCACTACAGCCACTAACCCCCCCACAGACCCTGTCCTCCCACTACAGCCCTTGTCACCCTCACTACATCCCCTCTCCCCCCACCACAGACTCTGTACTCACACTTCAGCCAATATCCCCCATTGCACGACCTATCCCACAACCAGAGCCCATATCCCCATTACATCTACTGTTTTCTCACTACAGCCCATGTCCCTCCCAATACATCCTCTACCCCCCCAGCACAGATCCTATCCACACACCACAATCTCTGCCCCCCCACTGCATACCGGGTCCTCCCACTACAATTACTTTCCACCTACCACAACACCAGTCCCCCCACTACTGTCCCAATCCATCCACCAGAGGCACTATC